CGTAATCTGTTCACTAATTTCACCCTGCATCAAAATTCATGGATTACGGCCGTTACAATATTTTCCACGTTTCGGACTGGCCGTCTACTTCAGAAATTATCAAGGACCGCAAATTATTTATCATTTTAACGTACTCCGACCGATCCATTTGGACCGTCCAATGATTCCACCTTCTAATGGCCGTTACTTATCATTCCGTTAGAAATTATGCTAAATTTCTCTAGTACAGCTAGGATTCTTTGAAAAGAAATTTCCCCCAAAAAATTACTTTTTGAAAATAATTTCTGGTAGCATTTGGATGAACTTGGACATAAATTATTTTTATTAGTCGTAATACATTGTCTGGAAATACGAAGCTGGCATCTTTTCCAGTTGCTTTGATTAGTACTGCACCGGCCTAATGGTTATCCCACTGTTAATTTTTCTCTTGAAAAGATTGCTAGCTGAACGATACTTCCAAAAAAGCATTTACAAAAAAGCTTTAGCCGTTTCGAGATGTCAGTTCACTACGCTTTTCCGGACGTTGCTATTCCCTGGATCATGATAAAACACCTCACCAATCCATAAGTGTTCATTTTCGGTTAGATAGGCAATAATGGAAAAAAATAATTCAGGACAGGAGAATCTGGTGTACAGCGTATGGCCTGTACTGTAGCAGTATCGAGCACTTACATCGGTCGTTTATGCCAATCGGATTTTTGACAACCAATAATTCCTGGAAAAAAATATCAAAATTTTGTTTTTTTGCAGAGATCAGATCTTGAAATGGAATGGTTGGGGATATGCGGATTCATATTTCGAAGCTATAAATCCACAAGAACTCGCTTTCACGGGCGATAGGTTAGTTCCCATTGTTGTTTTGACGTTTTCAGATGTTTCGTTGGTTTGTTGGGGATATGATGCGAACAAACGGGGCATCAGTGCATGCTACACGTTTGGCAAAAAGAAGAACGCAGTGCATGATTAATGCAATAATTTGCAATGCTTCTGAGGGAGAACTCACAGCGCGAAACTGATTAATAGAAATTTATAATAAGAAGGAATAAAGTAAAGAAAAGAGTGAAAAAAGGTAGAAAATGAAAATTAGAAAGTTTTTGAGATTATTATAATGGTAAGAAGTGTTTCGGTCCATTAAATCGTATACATTTCTTACCATTACCACAATTGGACCTCGTCAGTATGACGGTTGTGATAATTGAAATTAATAGGAATTAAGATTAAATTAGAACATTAACATTTACTCAGGAGTTTATTTGCATCTGCCTCATAATTTGTTATTCATTTGGAAAAGAATATTTAGCATTTTAGGTACGAAATTTCGGGCCGACGTTTACCGTTTCTCAAACAGTATATGTGCGAAACTCT